AGCAGCAGCGTGCGCTCAATAATCGTTGTCAAGAAGAAAACAACGGCCTTGTCGAGATGCGTGTAGTAGCACCACAGTTCGTGCATTCTGTAGCCACACATTTCAAAGCTCACATTACTTAGCGTTTCAACTACATTTTGCATTCGACTGTTTGTCGCGTGCAGTTTGTTCGCTTTCCCTGCTCCAACTTTTCACGATGCTGGCGTCCTTTTTTGCAGGGCGCCCTACCGTGTCGTGCGCACCGGACCGTTATATTGGTTTTGGCCCTTTGAATCGCGCGCGCGATCACACACGTGTCCTCTGCGTGTGGTCGGCGACTGGTCGGGGCCACCTAACCTGCACTCTCCCTCCGCTGTGGTCGCGTGGCGCGCGCCGCCCAAGCTGCGGTCGGCCACGGACTACACTGCTATCGGCCGATATGGGGCAGCGGGAAAGCAAAGCATTGTGCGATTTCTCCTTAATGAAGACACATGTACGCAAAGGGCTCGTGAACTTTGCCCAGCTGGATGATACGTACACGAAGATTTGACTCCAATTGTATCTCTCCAGCAATGCGTGCAAATGTATGGATAATAAAAACATATTTATTAAAACTCATTTATTAAGAAAATGCACATTATATACCTACAGCCGAGTTCACGACGGCTCAGGGCGCACCATCTGTGCCGTCGTCCATCTTAGCTTGTAGAGAAATAGAGGAGGCTCGTCAAAATTGTTCCAGTCACGGCGGTTTGGCAGATGTCGAACGCATGAAATTCCATCAGCCGCGGTCCTCGAGGAGTAGCAGCCAACCTAGGTGTCCGGAAGAGAAATAGAGACAAATGGACCGCGAGCCTGAGATGCCAGCCGGGGGCCGGCCGCTGTACATCACACACATGGCAGTGCCCGCGGCGCGGCGCGCGGCCGGGCGGCCAGCTGGACCGGCCAGCGGCGGCAGGGCGGGGCGGGTCAGCGCCCGTCCCTTGGCACGAAGTCCTGCATGGCTGATCCATCAGTCTAATGTTTCTAACCGACGCTGACGCGAGAGTGCCTCGGGGTACCGCAGGCCGGCAGCGCGGCCCCGGACACCGCCCGGTCAGCATGCATTTCCAGAACAGATTTTCTGGCCCGTGCAATAGGATCGAGCTCCTCGTACTGACGGGCCTCGGTCCGATATGTACGCTGTTCCACATTAGGCAAATTTAAAGTCTTAAAAGGCTCCGGACAATAATCCGAACAGCAGGACTATAGGGCAGTGGAAGCCCGAGGAAATAATGTGGGCCCAAAGATGGCGGCAGCGAGCTGCGAGCTCCCTGCACTATCGCGGCCACGGCCTTACTTGGAACTGCCCCGAGACCTCGCCGCGCCGATAGCCGTATGTCGAGATCAGGCGCGATTGCCAAAGTGGAACTTAAAATGCGTTTGGCGAAGACAGTAGGAGGCCCCTAGCGTGGCACTGCAGAAATGCCATCTGCTGCTTTTGGCAAACTTGGCGCATACTATTCTAAGGGACTCAGCAGACAGACCGCCACCTGTCGCGGTCGACATGCAGGACTGCGATAGCGACAGGTTGTGCAGAAATGTTTCCGCAAACGTGGAGGGACTAAGATTGCTATCAGTTAAAACGACACCATTTCGAAATAGAAAAGCGCAAAATTCAATTTGAACAGATAGACAGCATTAACAGTGGTCTGCCACGATCGAAACCGTTCGGATCCAGACCGTAAACACTCGAACAATGCGACCGCTGTGGTCAGCAGCCGGCAGCAAGGCAGCACCACCGCACTCCCCACCCCCACCCCGCCCTCACACCCAGGTGGCGATGATAACCAGATTAATCGAAAGATAGAGAGCAACAAATCGAGTCGTCTGCTTTGGCTCTTTCATTACCTCGTTGTGGTGGCGATCCCACGGACCCATAGCGCAGTTGGGCGTGAATTAATGCAGCACTGTTGTTGTTGATGTTTGAGCAGCAGCAAGAGTTTTAATGCTGGCCGCGCTCCGAGAATGAGCCGTCGTAAGGAAACACTAAAAAACGCCTCTCCAAACTGGAAGAGGAAGCGTATATTTTGAGAGTCCGTGGTATCGTCGACTGGCCACAATATCCGACAAATTATTTTCCTTTGCTGCGGTGCTGCTGGTCTAAAGCGCCGGCGAGCGAGCGCGCAAGCCTCCGCTGCACCCGGCCGCGGGCGG